GTTTGTTGCCTGTTGCTTTGATGTCTGCTGCATGCATGTTGATGACACTTAGACTGACATAGATTGAAGAAGACCGACGAGAAGAACAAGAAGAAAACACTGAAGAGAAGAAGAAGAAGAAGAAGGAGAAAGAAGAAGGAAGAAGAAGAAGAAGGAAGGAGGAAGAAGAAGAAGAAGGAGGGAGGAGGAGAAGAAGGATGAAGGAGGAGGAGGAGGAAGGGATGGATGGCGAGATGGGATGGAGGGATGGATGGCGAGATGGGATGGACGGATGGATGGCGAGATGGGATGGAGGGATGGATGACGAAAAATATGAAGATCGCCGTTAACTGCCGAAGGTGGAGTGATGCAAGGAGAAGAAGAAGAAGAAGAAGAAGAAGAAGAAGAAGAAGAAGAAGAAGAAGAAGAAGAAGAAGAAGAGGGTGAGAAGAAGAAGAAGAGGAGAGAAGAAGACCTAACGAATGGAAAAGAAGAAGAAGAAGAAGAAGAAGAAGAAGAAGAAGAGAGGACGACGAGAAGAGGAGGAGGAGAATAAGAAGATAAGCGTAGAAGGAGGGGGAGAAGGACGGCCTTTTTTTTATTTTTAAACTGTCGTGTATCACGTGACCTACCGAATGTCGACGAAATGAAAGAAGAAGAAGAAGAAGAAGGAGAAGAAGAAGGAGAAGAAGAAGAAGAAGAAGATGAGGAGGAGAAAGGAAACGAGAAGAAGTAGAAAAAGAAGATCAAGAAAGGTCGGGGAGAAAGATTAAAACGCGAGGGGGAGGAGGGTAGAGAAGAAGACGAGAGGACGACGAGAAGAGGAGGAGGAGAAGAAGAAGACAAGCGGGGAAGGAGGGGGAGAAGGACGGCCTTTTTTTTTTTTTTTTCTCACCTGTCGTGTCTCACGTGACCGGCCGAATGTCGACGAACTGAAAGACGAAGGGTAGACGAAGGGTAGACGAAGAAGACGAGAGGAGGAGAAGGAGGAGAAGGAGGAGAAGGAGGAGAGAAGAAGACGAAGGGTAGATGAAGGGTAGACGAAGAAGACGAGAGGAGGAGAAGGAGGAGAGAAGAAGAAGAAGAAGAAGAAGAAGAAGAAGAAGAAGAAGAAAAGGAAGAAGAAGAAGAAGAAGTCGTTACCTGCAACAGTTACCCTAGCAGCAGGGCCTTCGTCTTCCCGCGCAACACAACACTAGACGATCACGACAGGAAGAAGAAGAAGAAGAAGAAGAAGAAGAGCGGCGCGTTCATCGTCGGGGTGTTCGTTGTAGCAGCAGCAGCAAGGCAGTCGGGGCCTTCGTCGTAGCAGGACAGTCAGGCCCGTCGTCGTAGCAGCAGCAGCAGACAGTCGGCGCCTTCGTCGTAGCAGATGGAGCAGTAGTCGATGGCGATTTCGACTGCCGACGGGCGACGCGCGTCGACGCAGCAGGACGGCGGGGGAGAAAGTTCGATCGTGCTGGGGGGCGAGTGGCAGACCACCCCAGCCGATCCCATGTTTGAAAGCGGGCGGGGAAGTTTTGCGCCTAGATCAACCAGCTCTGTGGCCGTTGATCATGGCGAATCTACGACCAGTAGCACAAAAAAAAAAATTGGCCTCCCGCAGGCCTACCGGGCCCGATGGGTCGGTTTTTCGGGCCGGTCGGACCCGGTAGGCCTGCGGGAGGCCAAAAGAGGCGAAACGGGGGTCCGAAACCCCCAAACAGGTCAGTGCGTTGGGGGGCCCCGGGCCCCAACCGGGTGCCCTGCCCGGCCAGGCCGCCCGGGGCCTCCCCCGGGCCTCCTCCCGTCAGCCGGGTGGCCCGGAACCGTACACAGGATTTTTAGTCTTCAAATTTTTACTCAGCTCTTTAAATGCACTTGATTGATGATTTTTAGTCTTCAAATTTTTACTTAGTTCTTTAAATTGCAAGGAATATGAGCGAGAGCGATAGACAGAATTCCAAATTGCAAAATTATGAAGTAGCGCAGACAGACAGTCATGTACGAAGCAGAGAGCACAATGCACCAAGATATCATCCAAATAAGACCAATACAATGAACTCGAATGCCAATGCCGACGCTCTCTGGCCACACCAACATAGTATCCAATGTGGATCCTACTGTCTGGCGCCCAGCGCCCAGCCTACACTACTCAGTCTACCTAGCCTATCTACATTCATGCAACAGGAGCACATCGACGTTGAAGACCAATGTACGTGACGTCACCTTCAATGCAGACCGCCAGCAAACACCAGGTACGTGTCTCACACCTCGCCTCATCACTCCCTGTCTCCCCTCTGCATGTGCCTCCTGCCGGAAGACCACCCTGCCACCGTACGCGCGGCCCGGCTATGGCCGCTGTGCGCTTGCTGCCACAGCAGAGCCCTCTCACCTCTAAGCGCCCCCATGCGCCCCAGCCTGCCTGCTTAGCGTAGCATCGCACAGCAAAGCAGCAGAGTGGCCTCATTGCCTGCTCAGGCTTGACTGCCGTGCGCCTGGGGACTCACTTTCGTATATGGAGAGTGTGCCCTGCCACTAGCCGTTCTGGCCCAGGCGTGTAGGGGCCCAGTAGCTTCGGGGTTGGCCCAAAGTGTCTGCGCCCAGTCTCAGTTTCAGATACTGGCCTGGGCCTCGTGCAGTTCGGCATGTTCAGGTGACCCTCCTGGCTCCAAGTGTTTGCCGCATTCTCATTGGCTCGCGGTAGATGTATGACGACAATGCTGCATTCTCATTGGTCCACGACCTCTGAGTGATGTGTCGGCCTCTCACTGCGTGTGCCCAGGGGCTCAACCGAATGAGCCCTGGGCTCAACTGTACGATGCAGCTGCTGCTTCTGGAATGAGCCAGCGAAAGCTCCCGTTGCTCTCTAACCAACTGGCGTGCTGCAACTGTCTGGTACCCCATGTACGAAAAATGTCGAAAATAGGCCTCTCGTGGATGTACAGGCCCGCCTTCACTTAGGGCAGGCACGAGGCTTGCTGGGGGCCTGAGCCCAGAACATTTGCATGCCCGGGACCGGCCTTGCGAAGGGCTCAATCCCCGCAAAATTCACTTGATTGATGATTTTTTGTTTCGAATTTTTACTCAGCTTTCTAAATGCACTTGATCGATGACCGCACCCTTGTTGCCTTTTTTTTTTTTGCTTTTTTTTTTTCTATGGCGTGGATGACTTCGTTTACTGAGACATGGATGGTCTCATTTTCGGACACGTGAATGGGTTCAATTTTGCGACAAGTGG